GGAGGGGGTTAAGAGTAGGGATGCACCAATACCGGTATTTCGGTATAGAGTACCGATATTTTTTTCCGGTACTCGCCGATACCGAAAGTCCAATTAAGGTAGCCAGGCGGCATGTAATGACTCAACACCATGGCTTCCTGATTAGTCGGGAAGCCGTCCTACATCTGTAAAAAAATAAATCAAGGCACCTGGACTTGCTGTATTTTTCTTAAAGACATGTTGCTGGTCGTCCGAATTCATAACGGACTTTCTGAATTGTGAAAGCTGGTCCGATGACCAGTGAAATGTCTTCAAGAAAAATACAGCAAGTCGTCTTGATTTTTTTTTTTTACAGATATACCGTCAACTGGTGAATCAAATGGATTGCGTTGGACACTCGTCCAAGTTCAGTCGTTGTGGATTCACCTGACAGTGTAATTTACAATTACTTTCTACAACCTTTCTTGGCCACCTTAATAAAAAAACACCAACTGCTAGGACACGATTGTGCTGGGACTCTCCTAACCTTAATCAGTGGACCCCCCCAAATAGTCCCCTCCATAGACCTATGTACAGGAACATCCACTGCCGGCAGGCATAGCGTCAAATGCCGCAGTTGTTGACTCGGCCGCATTTTGTTTTGCGCAGATCTGCCTCCGGACCAAAACTTTTTGTTCTATCCGGATCTGAACGTGCCTTTGAAACCGAAATATTCCAGCTTACAAAAGTGCTGTACTAACGCCTATGGAAAATTCGTAGAGACCAAAAATACAGACAGATCACCACAATGCCTTTTTTTTTGGTTGGACAGATTTAAGACAAAGGCCCACCAGGTGGCTTTAAAATAGGAGCACCGCGCGCGCGTATGCTTAACTGCCACAGTTCCGTTCCACAGCAGGAAAACAAAACAAAAAACACATTGCTAAAAATCCGAAGTGGGACGCGAGTTATCTTTGTTTTGGTGATGCGACGGGTTTTTAAATCCCAGATACCAGCTGTAACCGCTCGGCCGCGCTTTACACATTGCCTTACTTTAAAGTGTTTCCCAAAGCCGTCCTCAAGTCGCACCAACAATCCACGGTCAAAGTAAATTGCAGTGACATGTGCATTCTCGGGGTACCTCAAAAGTCCTATGCCAATGTTTTTTTGCTTTTTGTAAGTTTTGATATTTGGATGTGGTCCCCAAAATAAGCCCCCGAGCATATGTGTGAACTTACCTCCACATTGCACACTCCTAGTGGGACTTCAGGACTATGTGTGGGAAATGCTAAGACAGCAACCTGCATTGCCGGCCGCTCTCGCCAGTTGTTTGCTGGATGGTAATGGTGCACGGTCGCCCTAAAACTGTTACAAATCTTTTATAATGGTCTAACTCCGGGGAAGGCAACCTCGGGCACTCCAGTCTTTGAGTCATGCTTATGGCTGTCAGCCTTGCAATGCCTCATGGGACTCGCAATCCCCCCACCTCCCAGCCTTTCCCCCCCAGCCTTTCCCCTCCCAGCCGGAGTGCCGAGGACGCCTGCCTCCAGTCTAACTCCGGGGAAGGCAACCTCGGGTACTCCAGCTGGGGGCTCTGGGAGTCATGCTTATGGCTGTCAGTCTTGCAATGCCTCATGGGAATTGTAGTTCTACCCCAGCTGGAGTGTCGAGGACACCTGCCTCTGGTCTAACTCCGGGGAAGGCAACCTCGGGCACTCCAGCTGGGGCCCCTGGGAGTCATGCCTATGGCTGTCAGTCTTGCAATGCCTCATGGGACTCCTAGTTCCACCCCCCAGCTGCAGTGCCGAGGGTTGCCTACCTCCAGTCTAACTTAATGCCTCTGAATGCCGTTAGAACCAGTTGCCTTTTATGGGAGTCCCTTTAATTCCCCTTTAAAAAAAAAAAGTTGTCGACTTACAACATCGAAATTCTCATCGTTTTCCACCCATGTTTTCTAGTTCCGGTTTCTGTTTAATGTTATTTATCACACAAAAAAACTGCCTGGCTTCAAATTTTATATCTTTCCATTTTTGGCCTTTTTTTTCCCCATTTTCTTATACATTTCATCAAACTGAGTCTATTGCATCCACACGCTCCACCACACTCTTGTGCTCTTAGAAAGAAAAAAAAGTTTACATTTTCAGTACAAGAAAATAAAC